GCCACGTTTATCGAAAGGAATCTGGGAGCGAGCAAAAATTTCCCGACGAGTATGGACACAGAGCCTGCTGCGAAATCCGATCCATCGAAACCGGTTTGCCACTTCCTTGCAATGCTCTCATCGACGTCCAAACGAGTCGCACCCGATCGAGGACGGTCTTTTCCTCACCACGAGTTCGCGTAATACAGTAAAAGCTTCGTGCATTTCGATCGGCGTCCCTCCTCGGCACTCTGGTCATCCAAAATCGGATCAGGTGTTCTCCGAGGTTCCGCTCGGAACCGTGTCCTCGGACGGGGGATCGGCTTCGTATAGGTTCCAAGTGCGGCTGGAGGTTAGTTCGACCGGCAAGGGCAACCGCACGATGCGACCACTTTCGACGAGGACGGCAGTTTTCCACCGATCCGATCGCTGTGCCGTCGGCTGTAATTGTACTGCGTTTTTCGCCTCGACTGACAACGCTATTCATTTTTTAACCCTCATCCGGGCAACAGGGGTCTATTGGTTTCCTCAGGACATATTTCATTGCATTATTCTCTGGCAATTTTGACATTTATTTCTACGCATTTAACGTTTCCTTACAACCTGTCAGAAATGAGATAGGGGAAAACTCCTCACTTCTTAGAGAGGACTCCTTCATCCCAGCTGTCCTCTATTTCTTATCGGGTCTGCGGCATTTTCGGCGACGTGACGTCGCGGGGAAAATCGTTCTGCTCGGTATCTTTCTTCACTTTGATGGGTCCAGCCCAGATCTACGTGAAGCCTTGGAACGATCGTTCTGCTGTTTCCGGGGAATGCCCGAATCGACTGTCCCAAGATGCGGGTCGTTCCGCCGAGCGGGGTCACGGCCATCTCGTAGCTGGCCCCTTCTCCCTTTGACCCCGGGGGTGAGTGACCTCCTCCCCTCCGGTCGTGTCGTCGGCCTGCAGCCCGCTGTGACGTCGCTGGCTGCCTCCTCTTGGCCCCGGCTTCCTGGTCTTCCGCCGTTCGCTGCGACGGTCCTTAGGATGGTTCTTACTTTGGTATGGATTTATTCAAGAAATCTATAGTACTTGCGTCACGATGTGCTGCATAGGATTGTGTGCCCGACACATTTCGTCTCGTACCATTTCACATCACGCATTTCGATTCATCATAGATGTATCAATATTTCGATATTATTTGATTTGGCAACACGATGAAACGATCGAGAGCAATGCGTAAGGATTTTCAATTCTATTATTCTCGAAAAATTATTTCAGGAATCTGCGATCTCGAACGAAGCCTCCAGGAACCGTTCTGTGAAGGTCCTGTTACACTAGGCGAGTACTCGCTAGCGAGTGCTCGCTTAGTAAAAAGTAAAGAGGGAGGGAGTAAAATCGCTAACTCCAGTTTCGCTCCCTCTCTCGGAAATCGCTCACTCTTTTCTGAGTGTAGGGTTATACTGGAGAGCGGTGAAAATGGTGACATGTGCACATTCTTGTGCACAGCAAAGAAGAAAAATATATTGAGCTACATATCTTGTACGTTATGAGGTACAAACGTATGTCGTAAAATACGTTCGTCGGAAAGGTACCGAAGCAAAATAAAATACGAATGTGTTCCTTTCTTACCTCTATTCATTTGGTACGGATGGGGTATTTTCTTTAGAATCCCATGTGTACCTCCTCTCGGGATCAAGTGCATTTCAAAGTTCTGCTTTTGAACCTCAATTTTCAGCTTTGAGGTAGGGTTTAATGACACCATCCTCCGTCACCACGTCGCTGACAGTCGACGAACTGTTACAGATGAGAATGATGACAACTCGACAATATCTCCATGATGCTACAGGACACCTCACAAATAGCACCCTCAACCAATTATCATGAAGAAAGTAGGCAGCAAGTCCACACCTTCAGTAAGGACACTTAGACAAAGATTTAATGAAAGCTGGTTACTCGCCTCAGCTAGACTAGAAACTCCTAACCTATCAGTTTACACCTCTCTGTTCTCGTGCAACACCCCAGCATTTAAAATTTTCTGGAAAATTTTAATCGTCGCTTTTGAGTATCGTATCGGGAAGGCGGACGTCTGCGTCTGCAACGTTCCCGTGTGTACGTCTGGATCACATCCGCACGAAGGCAAGTAGGGAGATACGCATGCGGACCCGAAGGACACAAATAATAAGAGGTAGAAATGTCTCACATTTCTACCTCTCCTTGTGCCTTTCTGCTTTGTCGTGAGTGTACTGAGTGGGGCAACGTTCGGGAACGTGTTGAATCCCCCTTCAAATGGATAAAGAGAGGAGTCGTTTCAGAGTCAGGTCGTGAAAGGAGCCCTTTCATCATGAGGTCCGTCCTACGCTTCATTACGCCCTTCCTTTTTACTCTCACAAGAAAGAACTCTTCCCCACCCCTAGGAAATTCCAATGCCAAAAATAGCCTTCACACAGAACTTCCTTCTTCTGGACACTTGCAATGCCGCCTGTGTGAAAAATAATTAGGAGAGGAAAGTGCAAGTATTCACAGTAAGTGTCAAGCATGGCTAAGCAATTCACCGAACGACCAACTCACCAGCCTCCTGGACTAGGGGGGCGGGGGGGAGGGAGAATGATCAAAGAGAGAGGAAAATTGGAATTGGGGCTGGACTCTCTTAAAAGAGTGTAGGAGTCCAGTTTCTCACAAAAACGCCCGCGTTTTACGTTTCATCCGTAGATCCGTGAGCCAATCTGAAGATACGCACACTTCCTGGCCGTCTCCATCTCTCTCATTTTTTGTTGCAAAGATTCATCTCGAGGATCACGAGGGCGTCAGATGAGAGCGGCACGCGACGAGGTCTTCGACGCGTCGCGCTACGGTCGAGAGAGAGACTCGAATTTGTTCAAATTCAAAGTGGAGCCAAATCGATCCTCGACGCTGCCAGAGATCGTTTCATGAATTGAGGTGAGTGGGAAACTTTCTGGGAAAGCCTAAAGGTCCTGTTACACTTGGCAAGTATTCGCCAGCGAGTGGGCGAAAGTGGCGTTACATTAAGCGAGCACTCGTTAACGAGGACTCGCTATTTACTCGCTTCAAACTGCCAGCCATCTATTTCGCGAATGAGGAATTTACTTTTTCGAGCACCTGTGTACAGATGTCGATAAATATGAAATATGCAAAGATGATGGCTGCCCACCGAAGGTAGAAATTCTCATCAGTCACGGTGGATCTAGTCGACGATGTGATGGCGCACCAGCTGTCAAAATGATTCTTAGGAGACCAAGGACAACCAAAACAGATATCTTCGATTCTGTTCAATTTATTCTTTTTTTTTCGGAAGATCCACGAGTTATTCACTTCATATTTAATTTGTCCCAACATTTTCGGTCATAGTGGCCATAACCAATCTCCCATGAGTTGCACATGGAATTTTTGGGTCTCTCGGTACCATTTTCTTCTTTGTTACCCTTGGAGCTACCTTCTCTAAGAGTCTCTGGAAGGTTGCTTCGTTCGTTCGAAGAAAGTCAGCGACACGATCGGGGATAGACTCTTCTAGGTGCGGCAGTAAAGAATCGCACGCCCCCAAAGTAGATCTTTTGAAGAGTCAGAGCATCGTTGAAACTCGTCCATTGCGCCTCCCCCTCTTCCTGATGATACATGGTACCCCAATGAGGGCAGCAGCGACACTGGCGTCGAACGGCAACTGATATAGACGCATCCCGAACTCATACCAGACGCTTTGCTTTGACCTTTTCAACTCCTGTCATGGGAGGAGTGGGGCTTCATCTTGCCTCGAGGTTGTCTCTTCATTGGTTCTTGCTAGCGAGTACTCGCCTCGGGTTTGAAATCTTCCAAACTCGTTGCGGGTGCTAGCGAGTGGGGTGTTACACTAAGCGAGTGGCCCTAGCGAGTACTCGCCTAGTGTAACAGAGCCTTTACGGAACGGTTTCTGGAGGCTTTTTTTCGGGATTGCAGATAAGAGACTCTCTTTCATGGAGGATAGAGAAGTTATGGCATTCATAAAATTGGGCATTCTACTCTTCTCTATTCCCGCGCTCTGCTGTAATCCCAAACTTCAACATTTAATGATTCCCTGAGTCATATATTGTAATAAGAAATATAATAATTCCTTGCTTTCCACATATATATTTATGAATTGCAAAATAAAAGTGGAAGGATGTAGGAAAACCTGATGCTATGATATATCAGGAAAGCAGGTACTTAACAGCATTTGTAAGGTGCAGGGAACATGGGTTCCATCTAGTGAAGACTCCTGGTTCTGCAACGGAGTAGAGTCAGCTAAAGTTTCATGTGGATGGTGTGGAGTTGATTTTGCATAAACTTGATATCATGTACTTCACGTCGGATGAAGTCATGTCTAATTTATGTAAAATACACACACACACACACACACTTTGGTGACGTAAATATAGGAAAATATAAATTTTATGTAAACGTGATGTCATTTTCATGACAATCGCAAGAATGTACATTGTTTGCAAAAAATTGATATCTTGTTTACGTGAACATGCTGCTTGGGTACAAGTAATTGCAAGGGTCGTGTCTCCTAGTCTAACTCTTCCAGCTGGTCCCTCGCACGACTACGGCACGACTCTTGTAATTACTTGTAACTTGTAGAACTTGTAAATTCCATGAAACATGCCCCTGGCAGTGAGGGGGAAGTCCCCCCCCCCCCACGCAACCACTCCCCGTCCTCTCGTCTTTTTCATTTTGCGTCTGGGGTAAAAACTTGCAAATCTATTTCACTGGTTTCAATAAAAATTAATGTACATGCTTTTCTTTAATACTGAAAGGAAAAACGTAGAATGCTAACCTAGCCATAGTGGGGGAGGCCCCCCCGACCTCCTCCGGAATTCACCACAGAATAGAAGATGATAGGATATTCATGAATGTTATCAGATGACACCTGAGGGTGGGAAGAATGTGGGATCGGCTGAAGAATGCTCTACAGAGAGATCGCTGCCCTAAAGTTCGATTACCCTCCCCTTAGCTTGTTGGATAACCGAGTCCTCTCCTTACCACCAATACGAGACCGGTGACGTCATCAGACGTCACGATTACATCACCCTTGCTTAATGTCTGCCAGCAGAGACCACGAGGGAAACCGGGGGGAGCTTTTTGGAAGTCCGACTTGGCCTCTGCCGTTTTGACATTTGATCGATCGCTCTCATCATGAGTGCACCTTTGAGGACCTTCGGACTTGGGGCGAGGAATCTCCTCCGGTCCACGATCGGACTTTGGGTAGGGAACGCTTTTATGCTACGCTTAGCAATAAGGACTCACACGTCAAATCAAATAAAATTATCATTCCTTGGCTAGGCAGCGCCTGCTGAGACGTTAATATAAATAAGGTAAATATGGAGTGCCTGAGAGGACAGGCGAAGACAGGATATGAGAGTGGCTTATGGCTTACCAACTAGGCTTCTCATGCAGTGTAACAAAAATAGAAGGGGGGGTTACTAATGAATAAAAAAATGTAATAGTGTCTTATCTAAAGTATATTTTCAGAAAAGGCTCAGATGTTGAAGCATAAATGAGAGGTTACTAAATGTGCCTGTTGGATATGCCTAAGCCTAGCCTAATTAAATCTTCAGCCTGATGTTCAGTTGTGTTAATTTTTTTTGCCTCAAGAAACAGACATCCTCATGCATACTGATGTTCGCGTAACATAGGCCTAATGTATAGCCCTAAGTCTATAATTGCCATCTTTTTAATGTAATTTTTGCCAAGAAATGAATTTTATTATGCTCAAGTGAACAGGAGCAAATGCTGTGGGACAAAACTTTTGCCCTTGCAGTTTGGCCATGAAGAGCTTAAGAATGTCAATATGCCAGGGAGTAAAAGTTCCAGAAAGAAGGAGCACCAGTATAAAAACATGCATGCATGTATGATGGGGCAAATATAACATTTGCACTTTTTATTTAATAAGCAGAACTCTAATTCACATATATGTTCAAACAGAAACATCATTAGGATGAATTTAAAGCAACAATAGGTTTTCTGAAACTGAAATGCTGCAAATATGTCATTTTGACTTGCATAAAAAAAATTCATTCAAAATGTTGACAAGTGTTACTGACTTCTGTTGTCAGCATGTTACCTTCTTGTGTTACCTAGATGGAAAAAAAGGCCTGAGTGACTTCATGTAGGCCTATTGGAAATGATTTCATGAAACTTTTAATGAAACTGCTATAACCAGGCACAAGTGTAAGCTTAGAGGAAGGTGAAGGGAGCTTCTATTGCCAGACTGGCCTGGAGATGAAGAAAAAGTTGCCTAAAGGGAGAGCCCTCGATATGACCCTCTTCTTGCGTCACATGCAGAGAAGAATCCCTCACGTTGTACCTCTTGCCCAAATCCGAAGATGGAGGATCCATTGGATGATTCTCACTGCCATTGCATTCTTTTTCTTTAAGTGGCTTTTGTACTCTGGTAAGAAGATGTCACTTGGGAAGCAGTGCATTCACCAGTGCATCACTCAAGAACATGATCCATTCCTGCCCACAATCTATGTGATCACCCCAACGCATGCCAGACCCGTTCAAGAGGCAGAACTCACTCGTCTGTGTCACACGTTTCTTCTTGTGCCTCAGCTCCACTGGATTGTGGTAGAAGATGCTGCAAGTAAGAGTCCACTGGTGTCCCAGTTTTTGCAAAACTGTGCTGTTACTTCAACTCATCTTCATGCTGAAACCCCTCCTCATTTCAAACTCCATCCCAATCAGCCACGATGGAGGAAGCCCCGTGGTGTTGCTCAGAGGAATGAGGGTCTTCGCTGGATCCATCAGTCTGTGTTGTCTTCATCTCGAGGTGTGGTGTATTTTGCTGATGATGATAATACTTACAGTCTTGAAGTGTTTGATGCAATGAGAGGAACCCGAAATGTCTCAGTCTGGGCTGTGGGTATTGTGGGTGGGATGCTTGTGGAAGGACCCATCACAGATGAACATGGAAAGTTTTTGAAATGGAATGCCATTTATAAGCCAGAAAGGCCCTTTGCTATTGATATGGCAGGGTTTGCTGTGAACCTCAGGCTCATCCATGAACATGCAGAAGCAGGGTTCAGTTATGACTCAGAAAGGGCTTATTTGGAAAGTGACTTTCTCAGTGTGCTCATCTCACAAAAAGATGTGGAAGTGTTGGGAAGTGTAGAAGACAAAGTCATGGTGTGGCATACTCAAACTGTTGCACCAAAGCTTGTTACTCCCTGATATGTCTGTGATCCAGGTCGAAGTCTTAGCACTTTTATTCGCTCCTGTTGCAGTCAATCTAATTTTGGCTTTTGTTTTTATTTTTTTAATTTTCTTTGTTGGTCTTGTCTGAGGAAGGTGGCTGGCTGTTGCGTTGCTTGATGATTTTCTTGCTTGAAACATGCAATAAAAGTGTGTTTGCACTCATTGTCTTTGTCTTCTATGTGGAGCAGGCTGGGTCTGTATTAAGAAGATTGGCTTCTCTCAGTTTGGTTTAATATATGCAATGATGAATTTCAAATTCTTTTACTGAATACCCTAAATTAGCCTAAGAGACTGGATTGGAACTCCAGCAATTCCAGACACCAGTTTAAATTTCCAAAGAATAGTTTCAAAAGCAAGGATTGCTGGACAGACTCCAAAAACTGAAGGGTAGTCACTGGTAGTTGTTTGGCATATGATTGTTTTATATTTCAGTGCAAAAGGTCCTCTCTGTAGCAGCTCTCAAGCTCTCCTAGTTGGGCTATACTGGAAGTCAAGATTCCATTATTCCTTGGTATGATTGAAGTCAGACAAGTCAAGTTCAAGTAAATTCAGTCAAGAGAGAGGATTTATTTCTCCATCTCTATTTCTACTTTGCTAGCCTTACTACATGAAATAAAAAAACCTTAACCCAATTTCACCCAACTTAGTCTTATCCTGGGCCACCTGAACTTGACTCTGAATGGCCTATCTTTATGAAAATATCAAAGGTTACGCACCTCTGCATTAATCCTCTACATGAGACACATCCGAGGAACATGGATGTGACCATGCTTACATCAAAAGGAGCATTTGTCACATCTTGAAATAAAAATCTAAGAGCTTCCCATTTTTGGGATGCTGGTTGATAAGTTAAGCATATAGAGTCTGGAGAGGTATGATAGTTCTTAATATGATATCTCATGAGCTGGTCTTTGAAGTAAGTGGAAGATGCACCAGAAATGTCAGAATTTGAAACTAACAGGGAGAACTTGGTTGGCTGAATGGCAATTTAAATTTTTGTTCTTCAGATTTATGTTCCCATTCTATTTCTATCAGACTAAATGTAGTAATAGTTTGTAGACCATGTAAATGACTGATTTTGCATTTTTGTTTTGCTGCACTAGGAAGGATCACTTGAGAATCAGCTTCTTCTGCCAGCCGGGAGTGGGAGATGGATGGAAATTGGGAAACGCTACAGACACTCCTTGCCAATCAACACCATCCTCATGTTTGTGCCTCAGCAGGAGGTTTGTTCTCATCACTTTCTCTGTTCTTCAGTGGGTGCATTCCATTACTGAGTGGTCCTGTACTGCCACCGAATGAAATAATTTGGCAGTAAGAGAGTTAACTGTCTGTCAATGTCACTTTTCTTCTGTGCCCTACCAGTAAACCTGGTCTTTCACCAACAGAATTTATTGTAATTTTCTACATAGGGCTCTAGAGGCATTTTAACAGTATATGGTAACATTCTCTTAGTCTAGAATTACTTTGGTACTTCAGTCAACTGCCAGGAATGAATTGCATTATTATGAATACTACCTTCACATTAAAAATGGATCCAGCTATCACTACTATGACTTGACAGCTTGCCTGCATAACTGCATTGTAGTGTTACAGCAATCAAGTCCACATAAAGTGCTTGAAGGCCTGTGAATGTTTGTGTTAGTTTATGTGACCATGTAACATAATGCATAGGCTTCCACAAACTTCTCCCCTAGGGAAAACAAGGGGATATTTTGGTCATTTTGAACATGAATTGCTTGTACTAGGCCTGGGTGGTGGAGAGGATGGGAAAATACCACAGGATATTAGAACCAGGTCTCAATATTCTCCTGCCAATTATGGATCGAGTACGATATGTCCAGAGCCTCAAGGAGCTTGCCATTGATGTCCCCCAGCAGTCAGCCATTACTTCAGGTACTACACTCCTTCCTTCATCTCTCATTCTGCCACCATTTAATTTAACTAGCCTTTGATCTGTTAATTTCAACAGGCTCTACAATCATGATTTTCTTTATGAAGTTGATCCTAATTTTTAATAGATTATATATTTATGGAGCCTATTTAGATCCTGAAAGCCATGTCTACAAACATCATAAAGTATATTCATGTTCATAGAAAATTTATTGGTGTAGAAAATCTTAAATGTGCCTGCTGAAGTCAATGAGAGTTTAGCATTAAAGTCTCATTAGTCAAATAAAGTTTTAAAGATAATTAATGAAGCATGATGGAGAGGAGGGCTGAAGTGACAATCTCCACCAAGCACTTGGAATGGCATCAATCTAGGAGCTGTTTCCCCTGCCACATTTTCGGACTGAAATGGGTGAGTCAATGGATAAAAAAAATGCTAAGTTGAAAATTAATATTGACATTATTTTTTAATATAAGATTTTTAAAAACCTTGGTTGTTCATGTGCAGTTTGCACCTTCCAATATGCTCCACATCTTTCTCCTTGGGTGCTACTGTGCACTTTCAGGTTAAATGCACTTCTGTCTTAGCAAAATCAGGATGCTTGGCTGGCAAGGTCCTGGTGGAAAAGTGTATTATGTGTTTAATTGGATGGAATTTTTTTTACCTAACCCACAGGTCCTTATATTATCTAATATAAGTCCAGTTAAGAGCTTTACTTGTAAAATATGCTTTTTTGCATTGCAGACAATGTGACACTGAACATAGATGGAGTCCTGTATCTGCGTGTTATGGACCCATTCAAGGCCAGCTATGGGGTTGAGGACCCAGAATTTGCCATCACCCAATTGGCTCAGACTACCATGAGGTATTCATTTGCATTATTATTATCATCATGTAAGCTTCTCATATATCTCTTTTCAGCTTCTGTGTGTCTTTGTGTCTTACAGAAGAGCTCTGAAGACTTTTCCTAGCAGAAATTGTGACTGATGACATTCAACATTTTTCTATAGAAAGATACATGATTCTTCATATATATGTAATTGACTCTCTTCCATTCTGTATATTCTCTTTCAGGAATTTTGAATATATGTGAGGATATTCCATTGAATGTTTATGGAAGTGATGACTGAATTGGGCCTGCATGAGCAGTGGTCATTGTCAAGTCTCTCTTGTCCCCATCAAAAAAAAAGGTTTTCCCCACATGCAGACTGATCTTCTGGAGGCCACTGTCCCCATGGAGAGTATTTTATAGGGTGATTCTGAAGTCTCAATATATTTTGATGTATAATGCTAATATTTGTTTTTATAATAGGTTCACCAGATGCAGCAATTTATTAAAAATGGAAAAGTGGAGGAATACTCAAAATACCATGCTGACCCTGCAAGAGGGAATAGAAGTAAAATTTCATTGTCTGGGTAGAATGAAGTACAATAGGGTGCAAAATGCTTTCAATGAAAATTCCGTAAACCTGGCCCAGCAGATGCCAACATCTGTCTACTTGTCAGCAAGTTCTAAAGGATTGGGACTGTTGCAGATCTAAAATGTCCAACTGTAATCTAGGATACAATTGACATGAACTTTGTCTGACTCCTTTCTGTAGCTTTTCTGACAAAATTTGACTACTTCTATCCTCTGTTGCAGGATCAGGAAGGTGTTTTTCTAGTATCCCTTCACTTTTTACTTTTAATAAATTGCTGGATCCTGTGAACCTATTATAGAAACAAATATCAGCATTATATATAAAAATAAATTGAGACTTTATAATCATCCTGGATTTCATTGCTGAATGATAATGATGACTGCTGACCCTTGGCCAAAATTTTCCATGTCTGCCCCCTACTTTCTACTTGAACTGTTGATTTCCCTTTCCTGAAATGAAGTCACCTATATTTAAAGAATTCATGCAAGGGAATTGGCAATAAGGAGGTAAATAGGAATTGCATATTTCAGAGGAAACATGTATCCCTATTGAGTGACATTTTGAAAGTCACCAGTGCCAAGTCACAGTTTCTGTAAGGAATAGTCTCAGAGCTTTGCCCACCCCTCTCATAGGACAGACACTCATTCACATGAAAAGTAAATGTAAGTCTCAGTAGAACTGAAAATCAACTTTGTGGTCTTTGGAGCTGACAGAATTTAATATTGTCTTTGAAGGAAGTTTTATCTTCCCTGTATCGGTAGGAGCATTCAAGTTGTTCTCATCAAACCTGAATATGTTGAGACCCCTTATTGCATTCATGATGATTTGATGAAATACCATGGTAGATCAGAGTTGGGAAAGATTCCCCTGGATTACGTGTTCCGGGAGCGGGAGAGTCTGAACATCGGAATCGTGGAAGCTATCAACAAGGCCAGCGAGGCCTGGGGCATCGCCTGCCTTCGATACGAGATCCGTACGTATTGTCCCTCTCTGTTCCCATTCCATTGCACCAGGATTGAAATCATGTCTCATTTTTTCTTGGTTGACTGATCACTTCAAAGTTGGCTCTGAACTGCTTGAAATGCCCCAAAATTCTTTTAACTGCATTTTTGAATTCATGATTCCTATTTTTTTAATAATCAGTTGAAAGGACTAAACTAATCCATTCAAGCCTAAAAAATGTGCAAGGATCTTTTAGGGTGGCTTGGGTCTGTTGTTCTGCATGGGTTCCCATTTTGCTAATATTTCCATTTGAATGAGATGGATTTGGAGCTGCTTTCCAGAAAATGATAGGATGGTGCATACAGTGCAAGACTGGCTTAAAAGGAAGCCCAAGTAAGATTTATTGCGTTTCATGGATTCTAGGAGTCCTTTAGATCTCTGTTATTGGTGGGAAGAAGGTTGAAGTTAATGCATTTAGGGGTAGATAGCAATAGGATTGACACAGCCTCTCTTCGTCATTCTCCTGAGTCATCCGTCTGGGGTTCATCTCATGGTGACATTGCAGAAAATCTCTTTCTTGCCCCTGACTAAGCATACCCCTTATGAATTTTCTTTGCCTCAAGGGTTTTTTTTTTTTTTTACCCTCCCTTGCTTGCTCCACTTACCACCCTATCTTGTGGTGGTGTGCAATTAAGTAATCACTTCCTTGGTCCTTATTATGAATGATGGTAGAATACATATCAGCAAATTTCCAGGAGTGAACCTTAAGGTGACTGGTTGGTTACTGGGCAATTTTTAAGAACAGGTTACCATCTCAGCCAGTGTCCTGGTTTGGCCATAGGCTTTTCCTGTCTCCCTTGCAGTCTGTGCTTGTCATGACCCAATGAACCAATTTCATCCTCACATCAGGTTACCTTCCTGCATGTTCTGCATGCTCTTTTTTCATTTTCTCATGGCACTGTGTTGAAGTGAGTCTGGAAATTCAAAATGCTTCAAGGGATGATTTTTCCCATCCCATCCCTAGGAAAATCCCATGAAAGAGAATATTTTTGATATGCCCCAAACAAACTCTGGAGGAACTCTTACCGTGCAGGGTACAATAAATAATTTTTCTTCCTGTTTTTGATAGGAGCAGTGAACCTGAAAGTCTTTTCAGGCCAGTCACAAAGCTTCCTGTATTAGGTGTCCATCTGTTGCCTGGGTGGAATATTCTTTACCTGGAATTTTCCAATGAAATTTATGGAAAGCATAGCTGTGGAACTGCTTTGAGGTGAATAAGAATTTTTTATTATTATAAAAGGAGTCAAAGCTTTTGATGGAACAGTTATTAAGGTACAAAAAGATAGACTCAGGAATGGCTTTGTGTGTGGTGTTCTGGGCTGGAAGCTTAGTGAGTGCCTAACCTCCTTACAGCTCTTGTCTACAGTGGTACAACTTGAAGGCATTGGATGATATATCTGGGAAGGTGTCTTCTTCTGCCATTGCTTGAGCGTTTTTTTGCTTCGTGTCGCACATTTTCATTCTCAAATTTTGGTGGAAGGCTTTCTGCTTCTAACCTTTTTGGTCGAAATTGCTGACCATGCTGATATATTTTTTGACATCATATAAACTTGGTTTCTGCTCGTGATGCTGATTCTCTGCAACCCTTGACAGGTGATATAAAGCTGCCTAGTCGCGTGCAGGAGGCGATGCAGATGCAGGTGGAAGCGGAGCGAAAGAAGCGCGCGGCCATCCTGGAATCCGAGGGCACGAAGGAGGCCGAGATCAACGTCGCCGAGGGACGCAAGCAGGCCCGCATCCTCGCCTCTGGTCTCTCCAGCATTCCACTTCTTCCTTTCATTCACTAGATCATCGATTGAGTAACCTGTCATACGAATATTGGATTTCGATTAATTTCTTGGCTCTACCAGAGTGGGAATGCTACATTCTTAGAATTCATTATTCTTTCTTTGCTCGTCACTTATGGCATCAAATGTGATAGATATTCTCACGATATATGGAAGACGTTACTTATGGTTCCTGTTGCATGCTTTTAGATTTATTCCCTAATATTCTAGTCTTTGCCAAGCTTGGAAAGTGGACTGCGATTTTATGTATTTAAATTTCTCATACATGGTATGCATTTTTAGAAAGCAAAGGAGTTTACTTTAAAAGGCGATGAAGAGTCTTTAAAATGAGACGAAGAGAGCATAAGACAAACCTTGCAAACCCTTTCTTCCTGTTTGGACATCTGCCAAACAGCCCTTGGGATTACGAGTACCCTACCCAACCCTTATTCAACCCCTTGCGTGAAGACCTTATTTGGAGTGCCTCTGTCCGGTTCTTCTGTTCTCTTTTTCTCGTGCAGACCCTTTCTAACGCTTACTTTCCGTTTAGTTTTACCTGCCTGATCTTTTTTTTTGCTTCATGCTTTCGAGGAGAACTTTCGAAGCCCTTCCACCATCGGCAGTAAAAGAAATCCTGAAAGCATGATTTTTCCTACGATCAGAGGCAGAAAAGCAGGAGCAGATCAACCAAGCCCTCGGGGAGGCGTCGGCCATCTATGCGAAGGCGGAGGCCCGAGCACGGGCCCTGCACGTCGTCGCCAAGTCCCTGGCCGAGGAGCACGGGAGCAACGCGGCGTCCCTCAACATCGCGGAGCAGTACGTCCACGCGTTCCAGAAGCTCGCCAAGGCCTCTAACACCCTCATCATCCCCGGCAACACCGGCGATGTTTCCGGCATCGTCGCTCAGGTCTCTCTCTCTCTCTCTCTCTCTCTCCCTCTTGTTTTCGAACGAGATACGGACGCCGCACGTACAATAAGGCGTGTCGATGGGATTTTCCCCACTCCTGAATGGAGTGGGGAAAATGTAAGCGAAGGATGGTGCACACCCGTATTTGTGGATTTTTCATACTTTACTTAGTAAGCTGTTGGAGGACAGAGTGGAGATTATGTTACCTACTGTGGCCTATGATATAGATAGGGTGAAGGTCATGTTTCTCCTGGCAAGGACAAAATAGAGACGAGGTCGTCCATAGTAATACATCGCGAAGATCGAGTGAGAAATTGCCTCTGGCCATACATTTGCAACCCTTAACACTTTCTTAAAACTTGTGATTGGCACAGATGGGCACACCTGCACGTCGAGGCCACACGAGCTGGGGTGATTCATGCTCTTTGATTATTTCCCGTTCGGGGAAGCCACGAAGAGCGTAGGAATGCGGTCCGATATAGATGGGTTTCGGTTAGCAGAAGTAGTC